ACAATAATACAATCATGAGCGCGACCAGGACTTAACCAGTAGCACAATGTTTCTTCGACATGATCTAATGTTTCGGAATAAGCCACTTCAACAACTAAGTTTGCCCAAGGGAACCCCTAAATAAAAAACCAAGTATATTTAAATTACTAGCTGTAAAGAGTTCAAAACCAAAAAAGTACAGAAAGTACATTTTTATCACTCCCATTTTGTGGAGTTACAACTGGTTTATCCGGGCGAAATGATGCATCGGCTTCTTTTCCACGGTTTATGTCACGTGTTCCTTTAAGCAATCAAATCAATGCGATGTCACAAAAAAAATAATATACCATATTAATATTTACCAGCAGCACCAAAGCCTATAATTCTTGCGTTAGTTCCACGAACCATCAATTATTTCCTCAACGATTGCGCTGATGCAAACTTCATGTGGTACAGAAGGAAATTCATAGATTATGACTTTTCCCTCCCGCCATTCCCAACATCCACGAATGGAAAACTCTTCTGTACGTTTTCATATTCTTCTATAGTAACGCTGGTGGCAAGTACAATACGGCAGACTTAATTTATATTAGCAGCCGGCTCAAAAAATATCAACACCAAACAAGTAAACTTACACCACTTCTTCCCACTTTGCTTTTTCGCTAAATTCTCCCTTATCCCACCACTGGTTTCGATAAAAGTTGCACTCTGACATTCGTTTATCACTACTCCTAAGAATATCTTCGAAAAATTAGTAAAAAATAAGGAGTGACAATTGCACATATCTATTTACGCAGTATCGGCGGACTTTGTACTTGTTGAATTAACACTGCTACAGTAAAACTGGAATTTGACGAACCGGTATACATTATGTTGTTTTTAGAAAGATTGTTTATGATAACGGTTAACAAAAGATTTAAAAAAAATTAAAAGATTTAATTGATTAAATTTGCGTCACAATTATCTCATTAATTCTAATTAGATATAATGCGCTAATCTCAGAACAAAAAATATCTTATTATTGTCGGTGATTTTAGGTAGCGTTCCCACAAAAAATTTAATTTTGACCGATCGAAATTTAAAATCACCAAGAAAACCGTGTTATAATTAGGGTTAGGATTAAAACAATATAGTGCTTATTAGTAAAACATCACGAGGAACATTTTTAATTAGGCCCCTAATTAGTCGTTTCGATTGGTCAAAATTACAGGGGGTGAACAATTTTTTGTGGGCTGTGCGAACAAGTTATTACACTCTTCTAGAGAACGATACATTATATATACTTATATCTATAAGCTCAATTACATATTATGAGATAAAAGAATCGAAGAAAAAAAATTTTATTTACAAAATATGTAGGCGTTAATGTAAAAAATAATGTAATCGATTACCGAAAATGAGGTAATAACGATAATGTTAATGACAAAATATGCATATGAAAATTTTAGCATAACATCGGCAAAGTTTCAAATCTTTTATTTTATTTTTTTTTTGTGAAGCTGAAACTATGTGATGATCGATCAAAATTTTCATTCATGATCAACTTTTAGATTAAATTTAATGATTAATAGACTAGAACGCATTAATAAAAAAAATTTAATGAACAATAAGATTGAGTAATTGTGTGATCTGAATTTTTTTTCATAGTGTTACTATTGTTTTGGGAGAGCTTATAGAACTATCAGCACAATTTAACTCCAATAGTTAACTTTATATGTTCTTTG